GTCATCTTCTCCCGTCTATTATGCGAAGTGATTCCTCTGTTTCAGAAAGTCTCTAGGTCCCCTTATACGGCGCCAAACTGTGGGAGTCGGACCTGCACAGTTAAATTTGTCAAGGGTGTTTGAGGATTAGAGATTTCTATGTCGCGGACACATTTCAAACAAAAAACTGAGAATAAAAATTATTTATTGCTGTTTCTGTTAAACTGTGATTACAAGAAAGTTTTTCTGCCAAAAGTTTTATACTTCTTTTTGGATGAGTACAATAAGATATATATAGTGTTAAGTAACTAGACCAACTAATAAAATGGGCTTGGCCCATCAAGCAATATATCTAATTTATGCCCATAATTTCATTAAGCTCATTTTGCTTATGGAGTTAATGTCATTTTGGGTCTAGATACAGACTGGGCCTCTGCAGACTTGCACTGATTTCGTCAGGATGCTGCCAAGTTGATTTTGTCGTTATATCAATCTCATAGGATGAAATCCGACCCTACAAGTATAACCATTTGGCCCTGGAGATTTGTTTGTTAAAAGGGTAAGAAACTCATCTTTGATTGCCTCATTAGTTATATGTGCAGCAAACATAACCTTCATACTACTATCACACTTGAAGCTTGAAAGAGGGGAAATCTAGTCTTTGCATACTTGTGACAGAGGAGTGATACTATTACCAAATAATTCAGTGAAGAACCCCACACAAGGGCTCTGCAGCTCATCAATGTTCTCTATCTTGCGGTCAGATTGGTCCATAAGATAATGAACTTGGTTTATATTGCTCTTCGTTCTGCAACCATTATGTGGAAAAAGAGGTGTTTGCATCTCCATTAACAAGCCATGAAACACGAGATTTCTGGCATAGGAATCTTTCACCCGCAATAGCTAACTCCAACCAGAGGAGTGCAAACAGTCTCGAAACTCCTTCATCCCACTAGTGATTCTTGTTCCTCCAAATGAGGTATCAGAGGGATAAAGGGATTGGTTAAAGTCTTCTAGCACCAAAGAGGCCTTGTTATTAATGGAGATGTCACCTGCCAAGGTAACCAGTTCCAACCACAAATTTTTTTTTCCATACCTGCAGTTCACAGCATATACAAAGGACACCACAAATTCCTGAAGTAGATGAGGCAGTTTGATTATCCAAGTGATAATCTAAGCAGATTTGGAGAACCTAACCGTAACAGCTAGATCTCATACAACTCAGATTCTTCCAAGTTCGCTAGATTCGTAATTTGTTGCAGTAAGATAAAATAGATAAACCCAATCTAGAAATCCACCGAGGATTCGAAGATTGGAGACGCAAAATCTAGAAGCTGATCATAAAGATAGAAAGATCAACTCGAAGAACAATGAATCAATG